GACAGAACTGGCCCCAGTACTGAGCCCTGGGGAACACCACTTGTGACCGGCCGCCAACTGGATTTAACTCCATTCACCACAACTCTTTGGGCCCAGCTGTCCAGCCAGTTTGTTACCCAGCAAAGAGTACGCCCGTCCAAGCCATGAGCTCCCAGTTTCTCCAGGAGAATGCTGTGGGAAACAGTGTCAAAGGCCTTACTAAAGTCCAGGTAGACAACATCCACAGCCTTCCTCACCCACTAGACAGGTCACCTTGTCATAGAAGGAGATCAGGTTAGTCAACCTTTCATAAACCCATGCTTACCGGGCCTGATCCCCTGGTTGTCCTGTACGTGCCGTCCGATGGCACTTAGGATGATTTACTCCATGACCTTCCCTGGCACCGAGGTCAGGCTGACAGGCCTGTAGTTCCCCGGATCCTCCTTCCAACCCTTCTTGTAGATGGGCGTCACATTTGCTAACCTCCAGTTGAGTGGGACCTCCCCCTTTAGCCAGGACTGTTGATAGATGATGGAAAGTGGCTTGGTAAGCTCCTCCGCCAGCTGCCTCAGTACCCTTGGGTGGATCCCATCCAGCCCCATAGACTTGTGTGTGTCCAAGTGGTGTAGCAGGTTGCTAACCATTTCCCCATGGCTTATGGGGGCTTCACTCTGCTCCATATCTTCCAGCTCAGGGGGCTGGGTACCCAGAGACCAACTGGTCTGACTATTAAAGACTGAGGCAAAGAAGGCATTAAGTACCTCAGCCTTTTCCTCATCCTTGGTCACTATGTTTCCCCCTGCATCCAATAAAGGATGGAGATTCTCCTTAGCTCTCCTTTTGTTGCTAATGTATTTGTAGAAACATTTTTTATTGTCTTTTACAGCCAGATTAAGTTCCAGTTGGGCTTTGGCTCTTCTAAATTTCTCCCTGCATAACCTCACGACATCCTTGTAAGTCTTCCGAGTTGCCTGCCCCTTCTTCCAAAGGTCATTTTTTTTCCTGAGTTCCAGCCAAAGCTTTCTGTTCAGCCAGGCCAGTCTTCTTCCCCAACTGCTCGTCTTTCTGCACGTGGGGATGGCCTGCTCCTGTGCCTTTAAGACTTCCTTCTTGAAGAATGTCCAGCCTTCCTGGACTCCTTTGCCCCTCAGGACTGCCTCCCAAGGAACTCTGTCAATTAGGCTCCTGAACAGGCCAAAGTCTGCTCTCTGAATGTCCAAGGTAGCAGTTTTGCTGACCCCCCTCCTTACTTCTCCAAGGATCGAAAACTCTATCATTCCATGATCGCTATGCCCAAGACAGCCTCCAACTGTCACATCACGTTCCTCTGTTCACAAAGAAGAGGTCCAGCGGGGCACCTCCCCGGTTGGCTCCCTCACCAGCTGTGCCAGGAAGTTCTCTTCCACACACTCCAGGAACCTCCGAGGCTGTTTCCTCTCTGCTGCGTTGTATTTCCAGCAGACGTCTGGTAAGTTGAAGTCCCCCACGAGAACAAGGGCTAGCAATTGTGGGACTTCTCCCAGCTGCTTATAGAATACTTTGTCTGCCTCTTCATCCTGGTTGCGTGGTCTATAACAGACTCCCATCACGATATCTGCCTTGTTGGCCTTCCCCCTGATTCTTACCCATAAACACTCAACCCTATCGTCACCATCATTAAGTTCTAGACAATCAAAACATTCCCTAATGTACAGGGCTACCCCACTGCCTCTCCTTCCTTGCCTGTCCCTTCTGAAGAGTTTATAGCCATCCGTTGCAGCACTCCAGTTGTGCGAGTCATCCCACCATGTTTCTGTGATGGCAACTAACGTCTAGTTTTCCTGCTGCACAATGGCTTCCAGCTCCTCCTGTTTGTTGCCCATGCTGCATGCATTGGTGCAGATGCACTTCAGTTGGGCTATTGATCCCGCCACCTTTTTGGGGGGAGAAGCACTAATTCCTATGTGACCGTTCTCGGGCGCTTCCGTGGTTTCTGACACATCCATAGCCCTGGCATCTTTGCTGCAGCATGGCTCTCCATCCCCTCCCTCCACTGAGATGGCAGACCGAAGGACCTCGCTAGCACACTGTCCCTCAAACATTGGCGTGCCGCCCCCAGCGTTATCTCTAGTGAGCCTGGTTTTGCCCCCTTCCCCCTTCAAATCTAGTTTAAAGCTCTTTCAAGGAGCCCTGCTAACTCCTGTGCAAGGATCCTTTTCCCCCTTTGAGAGAGGTGTACTCCATCTGTCGCCAGCAGGCCTGGTGTCGTGTAAACCAACCCATGATCAAAAAACCCCAAATCCTGTCGGTGACACCAGGCTTGGAGCCAGGTATTGATCTGCTGGCTCTTCCTGCATCTTCCCTCATCATTCCCTGCAACTGGAGGGATAGAGGAGAACACTGCTGGTGCTCCTGATCCCTTAACCAGTCGCCCCAAGGCCCTTAAGTCTCTCTTGATCGCCCTTGGACTTCTAGTTGCAACTTCCTTGCTGCCTACCTGAAAAATCACTAATGGATAGTAATCTGAGGGCCATACCAGGGTAGGAAGCTTTCTGTTCTTCATCTTGAGGGAATGGCTAGTATGGATCAGGACCTCAGTATTGTGTTGAGGACACAAGATAAGCCTTGTGGTAGCGTGTTCCTCCCCCATCAAAGGTTTTGCTCAGTAAGTCTTGAGGAGTCATTTCTACCTATAAAAAGCTGCTGGGGTTTCCTTGGAGCTTTTCCTTTTGAAGGACACCTGGCCTAATCCAGCATGGCTAGGATTGTCACCCAAAATAGCGTACTTGTGAGGCTGAGCAAATACTCTGCATTATGAAACTTACTGAATGATGGGATGTTACCCTGTAACAGCTTCGGGGCAGTTTCCCAGCACGGATGTACGGGTGGCGGGCTGCTGGGAAGGTGTGCCCTACCAGCCTGGAGCATCCCTCCCATTTCAGGGACTGCTGGGAAGGTGTGCCCTACCAGCCTGGAGCATCCCTCCCATTTCAGGGACTGCTGGGAAGGTGTCCCCTGCCAGCCTGGAGCATCCCTCCCATTTCAGGGACTGCTGGGAAGGGGTCCCCTGCCAGCCTGGAGCATCCCTCCCATTTCAGGGACTGCTGGGAAGGGGTCCCCTGCCAGCCTGGAGCATCCCTCCCATTTCAGGGACTGCTGGGAAGGTGTGCCCTGCCAGCCTGGAGCATCCCTCCCATTTCAGGGACTGCTGGGAAGGTGTGCCCTGCCAGCCTGGAGCATCCCTCCCATTTCAGGGACTGCTGGGAAGGTGTTCGTAAAGGCCCTGGGTTTTTATTGCCAGCCCCCCGGGAGAGTCCTAATTAGCTCTGGAGGAATCTACCTCTTGGCAACAGAGCTCTGCTTTTTATACACGGGCGCAGAAATAAGTGAACAACAACGGTTCCTCTGATCTCGCCAGGGCAGATGGCCGAAACGAGGCCGGCGTTCGGGGGCCTTGACAGAACTTACCGTGTTCACACCGTTTCTCTTATTAACGATCTCCAAAGCCAACAGGTTATGCTTTGCAACCCATTTCAAACTCAGCCACCGCCACCTTTCTTTCCCGCTCCCTTCGCAGCAGTTCCGCTCTGCCCTGCAGCCCAGCCTCCCGCCCCGGGGCTCCCCCAGTCTCACCCCGGCGTGCTCAGCTTCTGCTTGTCTTGCTCTTGCACAGAGCTAAGTTTGCTTTAGCTGTGAGCATGCAAAGTGCTTAATGTGCAAAGCAAGCTGTGCGATCAGGTCAGATGCACGCGCAAATCAAAGAGAAGTCTTAGGCTGGGCTGGGGCGGAGGGTGGCAGCAGGCTTACTGCTTCTGGCTGGGAGCAGGAGTTCCCGTTTCCAGCTAATCCCTCATCTGAAATCAGACCAAGCGGCTAGCAGGAAACGTAACATGCTTTTGAGAGCTCCTGTAATCCCTGAGCTGTCTGTACCCAGCGCGTGGTAGGAACAGGTTTATTGTTGAGGTGAGAGCCCTTGTCATGAGCTCCATCTGGTGTGGGGTGTGTGTGCCTGTGTCTCAGGATGCAGTCACAGCTCTGCAGTCTGTCCCTGCCCTTCTGCCAGCTATGAGGTCTTTGATTTTAGGCTCCTGTTGGATTGTTTGGTCCAAGCTAAGGATTTAGTAAACTTGGGCTATCTACATTGCTTACACCTTCACTGTTCTGGCTGCCCTCTGTCTACGTGACCTTATTTTGCTTGCTTTTAGCAAAAACTGTTTTGGGAAACCTCATGGCACTACTTGCATCCTTCCTTTCTTCTTCCTCCTTCCACAGTTTAGTTTAACCTCGTAATTGTTGCTTCTTGCCCTCTGGATTTCATGACATTCAGATACTACAATACCAGGTATTTAACATCTCTAATCTCAAGCATATTAGTCTGACTCTTGCACGTGAATCTTAAGGAGTACTGGCAGGACTTGCTGTGTGCACACTCCGAGGAGCTCCTTTGAACCTGCCCTCTGGCAGCAGACAGTAGGGAGGCTCCTGTATCATGCCACAGCATTTATTGCCTTTAATATGGTTCTTGGATTTTACAGGTAGCCTGAGCAGTTTCCCCAGTGGAAAAAGACAAGGCCTTAACCCTTTCAGTGAGTATCTTGTCAAAATGTTTCCTTCTTTTCTGTGATAACCATGTCTCCCAAAAGTCATTCTCCCCTGCTCTCCTATGTTCACAAATATCAATATAGAAAGAGCTGGAAACTAAAGTTGTTCATAAGAGGTACGAATACAATAACGTGCAGCTCCGCTGCATCATCTCGATGTCCAGCACTGTGTCTTCAGCTGGGGCAGACAGTACATTGCTAAAGAATTAGAATAGGATACAGCAGCTATGGATACTCCCCTACGCTATTCGCCCTGCTTCTAGCAAGCAATGATTTAGGTGATCTGTTGTGTTTACATTACATTACTCCATGGACAAGTTCCCGTGAAGACTCTTCTCTGTTGCAGTGAAGGTCTGCTCTCCTCTGTATTTTGTGGCAGTGAATCGCACCCTTTCATGAGGCATGAAGAACAACTTTTATTTTATTTGCTTTTACCATGTGCTTTTACCAGGTGCTGCCTCATGGTTTCATTGGGTGCTTCTCATTTTGGATTGTGAGAAACAGTGAGCAGTTCTCCCCTGCCTATCTTTCTCCTGACACTTGTTGTTCTATACCCCTCCAACATATGTCTGGTTAGACTCCTTTCCATGTTGAAAAGACCTAGGTTATGTATTTCCTTAAGGACAGAAGTCTTCCTGTAACTCTTACTATCCTCCTTACCTTTCTGGGTACCTTCTCTGGTCCTGATGAGATGGGCTGAACAGAGAACTGAAGATAAAGATCAGCTAAGCCTTATACATTGATGTAGTGACGTTTCTTGGTGTGTCCTCAGTTCTGAGAATGTGTTTGATTTTTGTCTGCTGCGAAAAGCTGAGTGGAGGCATTCAAAAAATTGTGTACTTACTGTGGCTTCAACCTCTTTTCTAGTCACTCAGAGTGCTTAGTGTAGGACAGGTCATCCCCGCTCCCTACTCGTGCACTGTGTTGCATGTATAGACACTGAAGTAAATCCGCTGTTTTTATAAGCTGGTCATTGAGCACTGTGACTGCCTTTTGCAGAGCTGTGCAGTCAATTTCAAATATGACTATCTGGAATAATTTTTCATTTGACAATATTCACCCCCTGTGGCAGGGCATGTTGATTAGCACCGATCCCAGCAAGGCCTGTGTGGTAACCTTTCTCCTTTCTGAAAACCAAATCCATACTTCTGCCTTCCCTTCACCATGTTTTCACCTGTAATTAATCCACAGAGCTCTTGCTCTGATCCTGTAAGAGCCTTGATTCTTTAAGAACCTTTGATGAGGGGCTTAACAAAAGGTTTCTGAAGAAACGAGCGCAGGGGTGTGCGCACCCATCTGGCTCACTAAGCAGCACCCTTGCATCATCCTCTGGAACACTTAACAGCCCAGCAGGGTCCTGGGACCCTCAGCTCCAAGTAGGCTGTATCCCCGCCGCAGATGCAGTAACTCGATAGGTTTCAGAGTGCCTGGTGCAGGCAGGTCTCTAAGAACCACTGAGCAGGGAAACTGCTGCATTGCGCTGTTGCAGAGGTGGGGAGAAGTGGCTAGCCTGCATGCCTGCCGCCTTCGAGGCCTGCTTGCCTGCTAGGGGAGGAGGCAGCTGGCTGCGGCTCACGGGGGAGATGGTGGCAGGGCAGCCGGGCAGCAGCAGGCTTCTGCATCAGCCGTGGCAGGCGGAAGAGCAGAGGGAGAGATGTCGGACCAGTTGTTTGCCCAGACTGCATGCCCATTTCCAAGGAGGAGGAGGGAGAGGAAAGTAGTGGTTTATGTTTAAAAATACGTCAGTCCCTAGGGCTCTGTGTGACTCATTCAATGCTTTTTTCAGCAAGGCTGTCTCATTAGCCCCTGATTGTTTTCAGCCTCACAGCTTACTCTGGGATCTCAGCCTTTTGGGGCCATGGCTGCAGCAGAGGCTGTACTGTATCAGTCAGGTGCCCTTTTGGTTTTAATTTGCCTTTTTTCCTCACTTTCTCTGCTTCTGTTTTTGTGTTTTGTTTTTTTTTTTCCTCCTTTCCCACCCCACCCTTTCAGTAGGTCGCCTGGTGTAGCAGCAGAAGACAGGAAGGGAAGGCAGGAGCCGACCCAAAGGAAAGAAAGATCCAGCAACAGACGGACAGACACCTTGCTGCTTGTGAGCAAGCATGCAGCATCAGCAACATCCAGCATAGCAGAAGTGGCACCCAGAACATTTGCACTTTTTAATAATTGGTTTGGGTTTGGGTTTGTTTTTAATTGCTTTTCAATGCCATTATCTAACACTTTGGAGAGTGGGGGGAAGCAGGATCATGATTTTTTAAAATTGGAACAGCTACTGATGACATAAAGTTGAGTTCACTGGGACTCAGAGAAAGAGAATTTTATATACTGTATATAAATATATATGTAAATTGTACAGTTGTCTTGTACAGGGGTTGGAGTCACTGTTCTGTTCCTCCCTTTGCTTTTGAAGGCTATTGGGGTAGAGGGACACTTTGCATTTAATGGATTACAGTAATGCATTAATTTCTGCCACCAAACCACCACTCAGTTGCAAACCTGAACACCCCCATGCGAAAAGGAGCAAGTATATCAGCATGACCTGTGCTTGCAGATGTGCACACAGTGCCCCAGATACCAAATGCTTCTTGGGAGCAGCTGAACCCCTTCTTTTCTTGCTGTAAAGCCCTGTGCAACTCACAGGCAATTGGGCTTTTGAGAGAGCACAGATTTCACCTAAGTGTTGGTGCACTGCAAAGCTGCTTAAAGTAGGGATAGAAAAGGGTTGTATTAAGGACACACAAAAGTAATTTCTGCATCTGTTGCAAGCTGGGCAGAAATGAATTGCAAACGCATTACTATCCAGGCTCAGAAGACGTGCTTAGTAAAGATGTGCCGTGCCTCAGGAATCTAACGCTGTAGAAAGGACGTGGGAGTCATAGGCCTAGTAGAGTCAGTGGAGCGAAGTCTCGCATCTTCCTCTCTGACGAAGTGTTCATCTATATGTTGTATAACAATAAAAATACCGAGAAGCCTGCTAAAAGCAGCATCAGCCTGCCTGTTGCTTTGCTGAAGAGCAAAGAATGTATTTGTCAGTGGAGAAAGACACAATCATGCTGCTGGTCCCAAGAGTCTGGTTTACTCATGTTTCAACACTACAGCTTGGGCCATGCTCACTGGTGAAGGTCTGTCTGCAATGACTGTTCTTGTCTTTGGTTGTTGTGAATCTCAAGCTCCTCTCTTGCACAGTGGTGTGCCTGCCTAGCTTCGAGTACCCACTTCACCCGATTCACTGTTCAGTACCTCCTGTGCTATCAGACTGCAGTGTCACATTACAATGACAGTGAAGACTTGGATTGAGGAGCCTGGTCTCTTGGAGGCCACAGGGGCTGTTTCAACTACCAGCAGTTTTTCCAGAGGTGTTTCTTACTTAATCTCAGAGATAATTGTAAAGTCAGCAGTAGGACACCCATATCGGCAATCCTAGGTTTGGGCAGAGCGTGATGGGGCACACAGTGTTTTGCTTTGTGCATTTCCAACCACTGGCAGCACCTGCTTGTTCATAGGAAATGTTCTGAGCAGCCTCCCACTTCAGACCTGGTGATCCTTGTGCCACTTGTCTCTGGACCAAGAGCCTGTAGTCAGAGACGATGACATGCCATGCGAATCTGAGATCACACCGACAATTGCTTGTAACAGCATAGTGTTACTGTAGAGACTGGGTTTGTCCCTTCAGGCTTTGTTGCTTTGGTAAAAGATGTTGCAACACAGCATCTTTGCTCTGTGGCATGTCATCATGACGATGGCATGAGATAAACACATCACAGCAGGAGTGTTGTGATGTAGTAAGTTAGTGCCTTGTTGACAAAATGAAAAGCTTAAAAAAAAGAAAAAACAAACAAACAAAATCTTTCTATAAATAACTGTTCAAGAGTAGTAATAACTCTTCCTCTGGGAAGCAGATTAGAGCTAAGTAAGGCATTTGGCATGGTTGAAAACACCTCTGGTAATCTCTGAAGTATACATCACACCACCATAATATAAAGAAGTCACCTCTAGCAAGAGCAGATCCTGCTGCTGGATCTTCATGGTTTCTCACATACAATGTATGTGCTTTTTTGGCCAGCAAGCTCCCATCTTCTTGATTGCATCTTTTCTTTTTAAATGCCCAGGGCACATCTTTTGTGTGTTAAAATGATTTGGTTTAGTGTATAGTTAGAAATGTCCCTGTCACTCATTAATCCTATTGTAGGAGTAAAGAATGAATCCAACTGTATAAAAAAACCCTCTCCTTTTTTAATACGCTAGTTTTAGGAATTAAAAGCTCTGGCTGCTGGGTTGGTGTTTGGTTGTTTGTTTGTTTGTTTTTAATGTATAGTTGCATCCAGTAAAAGCAGCCACTTGGATATCTATAGGAGTTCTGTCAGCTAGCTACTGGGGCCAGGCAATGCCCCACAAGATTGCAGGGGGAGTGCAGAGCTGCTAAAAGTCACTGCATCTTTTCTTCTGGAAATGTCAATAAACCAGCCAGCCAATGCTTCTGCCTGTCACATAAATCCTTCTGCGGATCTCCTTTTGCTCATCCTTGTGTCCTTCCCCTCCAAAAGGCCTGCATTCACATATGGTTTGCAATTAAAATTGGGTCAGTTCTTCAAGGAAGCCAAATAAGGGGTGGCTGTTGATGTTAGCTTTGGTATTGATGGGTATTCATATTGCTATGCTAGAACTGATTTTATGGATGGACTGGGGTCCAAGCATTATATTGCTTTCCCCTTTACTTTCACAAGACAAGTCCAAGTCCCCGCATCCTGACTTGCTGGGTTTGCATGGGCCTCTGATTGTGTAACGTCCAGGTAGAGGTTGGGTTACTTGTTCTGGGTTTGTGTGTTGGAAGATCATGCAGACAGTACTGGTCCTGATTCATATAACCCATCCTATGAGTTGTCCAAACAGTCTGTACTCATCAGAAGAGAGCAGTGCTCTCAGCTCCCCCCTTGCCTTGTCGCTTTTATTGCCAGATTACTGGCCAGTCCACCTGGCTGCCAGGCCAAACATGTCCTTATCTGGTGGTGGTAAGCATTCTTCTGCTCTGCCTTGCATCAGTAGCATCCTACTGAAGCTGGAGCAGGGGGAGTGTCAGTGTTGTGCCTGGAAGCAGACCCTGGGCCTGTCTCTCCTCATCCTTCAAGTCCTCCTGGGCCTGTCCAGCTCTACTTTGAATGACAGCTGAAAACAGCTGGGACAGAGAAGAGAACCAGGACTCCACAGTGCAAGTCATCTGCTCTTCCTGCCAGAAGCAAAAATCTTTCCTTTTTTGCTGATCCTCCAAGGGCATAGTGTGTTGGAGGGAACTGCATTATGGTGGGATTCATCCGTGTGAAGGCACCACTTTCCATGGCCTGAGTTTATATTGAACTTACCCTGCCCCAGCACATTTCTGCCGATGGCGTTGTTTGTTAGACCGAAAGGCATCTGTTTGATTTTGGTTTTGTAATAAAATAGATAACTTTTGCTCCAGTGTCTTGTGGTGGTTTCTTGCTGAATGTTTATTTCCAGAACTTACCTTTTTCACATGCTGTTCTGTTACCTACGCAGTGCCATAGGAGAGGGAAGGGGACTTCCCTGCTCCCCGAGTCATGTGTCAGTCTTTGGTTGGGATCTGAGGTCCTTGGATGTTTCTCTCGTGTGTGTAAGCCTCCAGGTTGAATTGAAACGTGCCCCAGAGTGCTTCTCTGCAGTCTGATGACAGCTGCCTGGATCTGCCCAGGCTGCTTCGAACGGCTGTGAAGCTTCAGCAGGTGGGACCCACAGCCGCGTGGGATCTCATAGCACAGTCTCCCTAAATGAGGGACAGAAGACAGGCACTGCACCTCACATCTCCTCGTCCCCACTCACCTTGGGAGCCTTCATACTCTACTTTTGTGGGTCAGGCCTTACTACATGGGAGCTTGAAATACCATCTTCTAGGTGTTGTCCAAAACCTTTTAATCCTCAGAGGTGACAAGCAGCAAGCTATGCTGGGAAGCTGCCGCTATTGTAAAGCATGCTATTTCCTAGGCTACAGGGAGCTGCTGTTCATCAGAGGCTACAGCACCAGGTCCATGATGTAGGAGGCTACACGTTCCCATCAAGCAGATATGACGAGTTTTCTCATCGCTATCTATGTCATTTCACTTGATCACATGTAAATCTCTTGCAATTAATAAGGAGCCAAGTCATTTACTGCACATCGAAGGGGAGGCAGTTGCAGGCCCAAAGGGAGGTTTCCTGCTTGTATAGTAGTCACAGGCTGGCTTGTTTGTAGATGGGCAGAGAGGGGGTCTGCTAAGACTGTTGTCTTCAGATGCAAGTTCAATGATGAAAGGAGAAAACACAGGGGTGAGTGACAGCCAATGTGGATTTGTCAAGAATAAAATGGCAAAATTTCCTTGTATTACCAAGGTAACAAGTTCTGGGCTAAGGGAGAAGCAGTAATTGTCATCTCTGGAGTTCTGCAAGACAGTTAAAAATAGGAAAAGAATATTTTTTAAAAAAAGCAATTCTTTGGCCGTGCTTCCTGTTTCTGGGGTCAACATAAGGGACTCCGAGAGGCCTTCACCCTTCCCTGGTGGTGCAGTCATTCTGTAAGCAAGTCAAAAGAACTACAAAGAGCTTGCTTCTTCCCCTGCTTCCAACAGTGATATTGCCAGAAGACTTTTCCTCCTCCCCTGCCTCTTTCCCCCTTATCTTTGACATGACTAACAAAACCCACATGCAGAATGCCGATGCTCTGACTTCCCAGCAGCCAGCCCTTGCAAGCCATTTCAGGCAAAATAACTTGGCAACCCTCCAAAAGCCGATATTAAATTGGACAGCGGGATCTGCAGAAGTGGTGCTCCTTAGTTTGGAAAACACCTTGAAAACAAAGTGGGTTAAAAAAAACCCACCTCAGGAACAAGAATATAACAGCAAGTACTTTCTGTGGAGCGTTTGCCAGAAAACCTGAGGCTGGCTGCTTTGGGAAGTAATGAGGCTGTCTGCCATTCTGCATCCAAGGACCTGCTTACTGATTTCAATGGCTGTTTTTGTTTTTCCAAGGTGCCTTGCCTGTGCACACCAGGAGGTGTCTAGCTTTCGTTCCGAAAACAACACCAGCTCTGTGCTACGTGTTGCAGCACAAACCTATATCCCCACTTCCCGCAGAAGCAAGAATGCACATTTATTCCATGTTATGTTGTTCTTTCAGCACGTTGGGACTGGACTGAGGGTCTTCTGGCTCTCAGCCCAGGCCGAGGAGCCGTGGCCTGGCTGTGTATTTAGCCGGCAGCATCCCCTTGAGGACCAGGCCCTGGCGGTGGCTGGCTCTCTGCTCCCTTCCTGAGCCAGGCCTGCACTGCGCTGCAGGCAGAGGGGGGCATGTTGGGTGTTGCAAGAGG